ATAATTAATTGAATCTACTTTGTCTTAGTAGTGACTGGTTGAGTTACCTGCATGAGTTCTCAAGGAGTGGAATAAATCAGTGGTGTATTTTACTTCCAAGAAAGACCCTATGGATTCCTAGACTGCAACCTGAACAAGGTGGACATCAGTTTGCCTTTAAGACTAGTGAACGGACATAATTTACTTAAGTCAAACTATATTTTACACATTCCTAACCTCTAAATCACTTTTTCCCAAATAGACTAAGGTTCTTACACTTCATCCTAGGAAGGAAAAAGCATAGACGAATGGTGATTGATTTCTGCACTGACCACGTCACATATCAAGAGTTCGTAGAACCAGAACAAAGAGAACATTTCATTAGGCTTGTCAAGAGAATTCCCAGTGCCCCTATATGTTATCCTAGTCATTCACTTTAAGTACACAAATAACGATCCGGGTCACCTCGAGATGCATGTCAACCAAATCACTCTGACATTTAGTCTTAGCTTTGAATCCCAAAAATTCCTGTCTAATACGTATGATCTTTGCCAGCTATATAAGTAAGACGTTTATTTTTGATTGTAACTAGTAGCCTAGGTTTCGTGCTAGTTGGCACTTGTCAGCAAGCTGTATCTGAAAACTTGAGTGATAGAATTCAGTCTGCACCAAACATCAAGGACTAGACACATTACACATTAGGTACTAACTAGTGTCCAAGCAAATAAATATCCAATACAGTCAGTTCTACAAGAGGTCAATCGTTACTCCACGTAGCTCAGTGGTAATGTCTCTGACTGCAGGCAGGACTGGGTGACGCGGGTTCAAATCTCAAAGGGGTGGGACATAAGTTCCTTTAATGTGGTTGCAGATACGCCTTGCTGATTGGTGAGTACCAACTAGCACGAAACTTAGGTCCTCAATGTATGCCCGATTCATCTCTATTTTCTCCTACACATTTGTTCAACGATCGGCTTTTGGTTGGTTTGTTCTCAGCCAGAGTTCCTTGTTGCTTATTCTTTCTGGACACTTGATCATCAGTATGGAGTTGGAGAAGCGGGCAGCTGTTGATAAAATTCTGTCACCTGTTGGAAATCCTTTTCGTGACACACACTGCAAGTTTCTGACCCGTATAGAAGGACTGACTTGACATTGGTGTTGGAAATCCTAATCTTATTCCTTATGTTGAGTGAAGAAGACTTCCAAACTGGTTTCAGGTTGATGAAGGCGTATCTTGCCTTTCCGATTCTGACTGACTGACTTCGACATCTGCATCCGTTCCGACTGCCTGTGGCTGAGACGATGCTTCTGGCAGCCGGATAAGTGAAGAAAGTAACCTGTCAAATCTCTCCCGTTGATGGTGATTGGTGCTGTTTGTTGTTGCTATTGCTGTTGGTTGGTTGGTTATCTTTATAACCTCCGTCTTCTCTATGTTCAATTGAAGTTCTGTCTTCACTGCCAGCCTCTTCTGCCAGTCTGTTGGGTTTCGCCTACCTCTAAGTCTTCGAGTTTATGTGACATTAGACATATATCATCCACCAGCGAAATCCAGATCTTCTAGAGCCTTCTTGTTCGCGGGTGTTTACTGTTTTCCATGTAAGCCAGTAAGTATTCATAATTTACTTAGAGATACAATTAATGAGTAAGATTCCATATGTATCAAACAGGTTTACTTTTACCTGACTGAAGTCAATGTCTTGTGATTAAAGGTGTCATTTGTGGTAAATCAGTTAGAGTCTTAGTTAAACAGATAGCTGGATACAATTCTGTAACAGAATTAGATATTAACGTGATAAGTGCTTTTCTATTAGGTGGATAGCGCATTTACAATACTTAGAAGTAGTTCATAAGTTGACAAGTTTGTGGAAAACACTGACCGCAGATAAACAATTTGATATGAATCATAGTATTAATTAATAAGATAAATTAGTGTGTCTGTGCTTCACGGGAAAGAATTTTTGCCAACCACGCCCCATATGCTCTGGGATTTAGTCACCGGTCTACGCTCTACTAGCTCGTAATAAACCCAGTAAAGAAGGAAGGTTGGGCATGCGGCTAGAAATCTCGCTCCATAAAAAAGGATAACGTCATTGCTACTGAAACTTAAAAACTCAGAGCGTGAAGCCCGATATTCCACACAAAGGAATAACGAACGCCTAATTAGCGCGCGCGCATACACACACAGGCTGACATCATGAGAGTTCTAACGTAACTGCCGAACTGTGAATGGGGATAATTGATGGAAAGCTACCAAAGACGATCTCGTTTCGATGACATCGTCGATTAATTTACAGTTCTTATGTACTAATTCATCTAAAGCATTACTTGCATCAATGATATGAAGAATGTTGCAGATAAATTCGTAGTGTGCTAGAAACCATGATGCTTTGGATAATTCTCCCTGCCCTCATTTTGTGTTTCACATAGATGTCCTTGAAAAGCCAGTGACAGATCCCAATAAAACTGAATTCCAAATAGGTAAACGTATAGCAAAAGGATGATGAGTAAAAGCCGAATCCCGTAAAACAGATATTACAGCCTATCCTTTCGACACTGCTACTAGGCAAACAACTTCACTTCTAGGTCCTAAAATAAGGACAGAAACTTCAAACAATCGTGTTATGGTGAGCGAAAACTCACGGGTGGTTTGTGAAACCATCAATGATACAGAATTCTAATTGCATGTGTTTTAAAGGGGATATGCCACAGTGTTTACACTATTCTGTCATTTTATATACTTCTAGGTTAAAGCAATGATATAGTTTTAATTATGCGTTTACATCAATCCACAAAAAAGGAATAACACAGACAACAGAAATTAACGAGTCTTTTCTTTTCGTAAACTTTCACATTCACATAGCCACAAGAACATAATCGTAGTCTTCCCAGCTTCATATGTTTGACCGGACAAAATAACACAATATTTCAGGTGGGTGCTGGCACAGACACTTTTTCTTGCAGAACAAAACTGTTTAAACACCTACGTTTTCAACGTAGAACTTTTCACAGAAGTGCAACAGTTCGCGTTCAAAACACTCCATATAACACACAGGGAATAAAACCAAAGGAAACATAATGAAGGATGAAGAATAATTACGTGGAGAATCACGATGATCTGGGAGATAATGAAGAGTGAATGCATTTGCGCCACTCAAAACGACTTCCAGCCACACCATCAAGTCTGAAGCTACTGGTTCTTACCATCCCAAGGACTTCAATCAGGCAGTCTACACCTCCTTAGGTGGCTAGCTCAAACCACTACTCAAAGACTTCATATGTTGATGCTGGGTTTTGATTTGACTACCACTAAATCTTTGCCAACCTAATCCTATGCCAGTTAACTCATCGAGGAAGGCAATGGTTCGTCATGTGCAACATGTGTCCTGGCGATCTCAATCGATGTAACTTCACAACCTCATTAACTGGTTTACATTACTCATCTAACACTACGTCTAACGTCAGTATTATTCATCATGTTATACCGCTTGAGATAGAAAACAGATACTCATTAGCAAAGAGAGTTAGCCTTTTCATCTCTTCCACAGTCAATAACCACATCTCATGACTATAAAGAAGGACAGAGCGAAATGCTGCGCAGTAAACATGTCCTTTGGTCGACAGCAGATATTGTATCTACTCCAGAGATGACATAATTTGGCAAATGCCAACACCAGCATTCGTATGCGTCAGCTAAGATTTCGCCAGCAAATAGCAACCTCAAACAAGTGAAGTGTGATTTTCCCTGACACTTTCCAGTTCTGTTAGTTTTTGGGGCGCGATGGTTTCCTCGTCAATCATTTTTAACCTAATGGCTATTTATAAGAGATTTCGTTCTTTGATGGTATTATGTTTATCCCAAAAATAATCAGATCACGCTTAAAAAAGGGGTGGAACGCAAACGTCTGTTTTAACGGATCCAAAACACAGTATGCAATTTTTCATTGTAGTCCACAAGTTACAAAAGGCCTTTCAAAACACCAAGATGTACGCCTTCAACACACATCATAATCATAGTCCTTACGTAATGTAAACAGTCCCTTAAAGTATGGCAGTAATGACAGTGAGATTCCCAAGAAAACAATAGCATGCATTAAATAATGGCTTTAAAATAACTGAGACAGATTGAAGATATGAAGCAGAAAAAACATGTGAGTCTTCAAATGTCCTCATTTGCCATGTTTGCAGATTATTGTGAATTTTTAGACTGAATGGATGGAGCTTACATAAGCAAAAAGGATTTGGTTGGCCACGTATTCTGATTTTAAGTCAAAGTAATCAGTTTACACTGTCGTACTTCGAACACAATTTATTTCTAAATACATTTCTTTTGGATTTTACTCTCCTCTCCGCCAACAAGAATTGGTATGCCTAAAAACAGAAGTCCGATGTATAGAAGACACATCTGTTTTTTATTATAGCTTGTTTCAATACAGTATTTAGGTACAAATATGGAATTTTCAGCATGTGATATCGGTAGCCCAAATTTAGCAGACCGACCAATGATATCACTTGTGTGTCGACAGGGCATCGAACCTCGGACCATGTGCATGTTCGGCGAGCGTCCTAACCACTGTGCCACCGACGCACATACGTTTGAAGTCAATTTTCGACATGGGTTATTCATATTTTTATATTTTTCTTATATTTTTTGATTTACAGCTTGATTCCACACCGAATTTTCAGTACAAGTATGGAATTTTCAGCATGGATATCGGTTGCCCAAATTCAGGCATTTCGGAAGTTGGGTCCTATTTTGAACAAAAACCAGTCTTAACGCATATATTCTGACAATTTTAGGCACAAAGATTTTGCACCGGCTTACAGACTCAACGTTTTCTGATGCTTTTCCTGCAGTACTGGGTGCCCGCGTGCACACAAAGATTTCGCTTCGGAAGAGTTGCAAATGAACAGTTGTATGCATTTAACTCAGTAAACGGAATTGCATAATTAATGTACTTTAGAGACATGTCAAACGTATTCAGCAACCGAAATGGCTTACAAAGCACAAAATACCGACTCACCCACGTTAAGTAGTAACGGAAACGAATGACCCGCCGGTTGCAGAAAATTCAATTTTTAACACTGTTTTGTCAGAATTACATTGATTGGATATCCTAAATTTACAGTTTTTATAAAAGTGAAATCACATTGCATCTGAAAAATGTTGAGTGCTGTAGGCGACGAAGTTTAGGAATGAATAACTCCCTAATGTTAGTTCAGCAGTAAAAGATTGTGCAGAAATTTGACATTTATTAGCTGTATTCCACGTTTTAATGAAATCATTGAGCTGAGGGGTGCACCAACCGAGAGGCGTAACATTTATGAAAACTTAAGTGGATCAGCGTACATGTCGATTAGTGAATGTAGAAGGCATTTCAGTACTATTGTTATCAGATGCATTACCACGTTGTAAAGCTTTACAAGTAATTAAGTCTTTTCAAGGTTTAACCTTTGGGAGTTTTCTAGATGTGATGATATAGAGGGCAATGATTCCCCGTCAATATGAGCTCCAATAGTACTGTAACCTCACAGTCGCCTATGCCAATGAAGAACCATTTTTCTTTCCTACTGATGAACTTGAAATACTCAGCATTGGGACAGCATAGGGTCTCATTCAGGGCATCCAAACGCGCATAAATGTGTGTAGTTCTAACACCACTTCCTTGATCTGTGCACGGGCTGGAGTCGGTTGGAATTGGAGCATGAAACGAGTTAGACTGTGGGCGTAGTTATGGTCATCGGAAGCGGTTGGGTCACCGCCTTATAAAGGAACAAGTATTCAGTTAAATAGAATGTGATTCCATAGACCAACCCTGCCGAGATGCACTGAATATCCACTGTGACATTGTAATAGGTGCTAAGAAGGACTAGAGGGGGGAACCTTTCCATTTGCCTATGATAGATGCCATTAAATAAGTTCTCGATGAGGACGCTCTACTAGGTCATCAGCTGATAGGTGGTATGCCGTGGTCCGAATGTGTTCGTATTTAATTAGTTCAGATTGTTTCAGCTGCTGTATTCACCACAGAGGTGACTTCTGGATGACTGTTAAAGTGATCTTCACATGTAAGTGAGTACGAGTGGTCACTGGAGTGAAGTAGCGGCCAAAATATGTCTCGATTGACGGGATTAAGACGTATATCATGTATCGAAATGTTCCGAGTGGACCAATGTTGTGATTAAGCAAGAATATATCCATCAACGCGGTTACTACTAAACCAGACGAATCCGTAACATGTTACAAATGTCATGTTATGATAGTACATCAGTGTTTGAGTGGTTGTGGAGACATTCAAATACTGTCCTTTGTGTTTACAGAGGAACCATGGATCTCCGAGTGCCTGTGGACACGTCGAAAAGTTTGGCAACTTCTGTGTCTTGTCAAAAGTTGCACTCTTATCTGTGTGGAAGTTTTGTGACAAAGTCATTCTACACTCTTATCTAAGGTCTGAAGTGCAACCATTCTCTTCATTCAGTGGGTGGAGTAAGCACCATGGTGCGAATTCGCGAGAATTTTTTATTTTTTTATTTTGTTTACAGCTTGATTCCACACCGTATTTTCAGTACAAGTATGGAATTTTCAGCATGGATATCGGTAGCCCAATTTACAGGCCGACCATAGATATCGGGTGCGCGCCGGCAGGGGATCGAAACCCGGACCATGTGCATGCGCAACTAGGTTATTCGCAGCAGAAATGTAACAGATATCTGGTGTGATCTGTGAGATGTGGTACAGATTGCGTAATGCATCTGATAAATATCTATCGGTAGCCATATGAAAGGTGAAATTCTAAGGTCTGTGATTAGTGGCACCAGTAATGTGACTACCTTCGGCTAAGTAACGGGAGCGTTTGATGTAGGCGCAGATGACAATAAGTTCTCAATGTAAAGTGCTACGTTCCATTTCACATGCAGATAGCATTATGGAAACGAAAGCAGGTCTAGGTGCGTTTTTCATACGTTTTTGCGGAACAACTCCGATAACGGTACTAGACGCATCATTAGAAACACTGAGGGTAAGCCATCTCAATTTTCTCAAGTGTTTTCAATGCTTCTGGAGTCTAGCTACGTGTTTCACACTCGCCTTTCAGAAGATTTTGTCAGTTCTGTTGGAAATGTTCAAACACTGAATAACTATATGGAGGTAGAAACTTGTCAAACAATATGAGCAAAGTTGTCCTGGACTTTCGTCATGAGAAGTTCTGAATCACTCGTACCATGTCCTTTAGTGACACATGTCAGGAAAGTCAGAGCGCCTGCCAACCTAGTACTTGGCAATATTGATTGCTGCTAGATGTTTCGAAGCTTTTTTTAGTTGTTCACGATGAGTGCCCTCATCCCTACTAGCTATCAGATTGTCTTCCGAATATACACAAGCAAAGTCTGGTCCATGCAGGTCATCATAGGTGAAATGCTGAAACATATGCGGAGTTGAGTAGACCAAAAGATATCCGAGGAAACTCAGAAGGATCAAATAATGTAAAATCTACAGTCTTTGAAACATCACGAGGATATAGTCGGATCTAATGATAAGCGTGTTTTAATTCACGTCTTCTGAGAACAAACGGGCTTTTCAAAGGTCGCATCATGTTTTTATGAGACCGGGCAACACTCTGGGACAATTTGGACACTGAGCCTTGCTCAATTAGCCCAACGCCTGCAGTCCATGCTACTGCTCTTAGGTACCATGCATAGTGGTGAAGACCACGGGCTGCTGGATAGTCCGAAAAAATCCCTATCTCCAGTACATATTCAAACTCAGCACTACTAGCCTGATGTTTCTGTGGAGAAAACCGCCATGTTTTAATGAATGCAAATGGGCCAGTCACCTTGTTGTGATGAATGAAATTGGAGGCCACACAAAGAAAATCACGATTAGGCCTGAAAATATGAGCCACCGATCATACGGTAGTAGCATAAGGAGTTGAATGCAGTGGTCTGTGAAACGGTTTATGAGTGTCAGTACCCAGGTTGGAGAATCGGAATCTGCCAACTTATGCTTGCCAGTATTTACTAGCAAATGACTGTGTTATTAGAGATCCGTAGAAATTATACCCGTGGTTTCATCGGCCACGGTGAAAATCGAGGGGAAGAAACGGCGAAGTTCGATGTCAAAGCCTAACAATACGCTGTCATAAGCTCTGGTGGGAAAGCCATCTGCAGTACATGGTTGTAGAGGCTTTGGCCTTGTTTGTTTCTCGAATGAACACGCTCGAACCTCGCTAATTCGGTAGGCCGTTCAGAAAAAACGAAAGGTTTGATGTCAGGCCTGGAACCGCACCCATTAATAACAACGCCACAGCTACTGAAACTTCAGAGGTGAAGCCTGAAGTCCCACGTTTCACTCAAGCCTCAAAGGAATGAAAAAAATCAGTAAAGGAACTGTACATTCGTCTTACTAAAAGTGTCATTTCATAAAGAGTGTACAGTTTAAATAAAGTCAGATATAAGCATAAAAACCCGTCGATATCATGGTAAATGAATCTGTGCCATCTGCAGATATAGAAATGTACAGTAGTGGATGTTCATATTTCAAGTGAGATATGTGGTTTAATTGGTAGTTGCATCTACAGACTGTTAACACGTTTACATGAGTCACACTTCTAATACATGTCGCTGTTGTGTGATATTATAAGATAGTCGGTATGCTATTCGAATACACTGTGACAAATGAGTCCAAACTATGGTCCAATCCTAATCCTATACATTTAAAGAACTCAGCAATATGTCGTATGTCGTCAGTCATAGCAGTTTAATATCTTCAGTATTTAGCACTAACTACCTTTGCCTATAAATCACTGCTAAAACAGATAGAGAACTGAATCAATTAATCTCTTTACAAACTACATTCAACAGTCGACAACTCATCTTATCAGTGTGTAAGAATCACTAAGTTTCAGTGAAAAATGAATGATAAAGCCAGTTTATACAGCATTTATAATAAATGCTACACTAGGCGTAAGCTGAGTTTAGCCATCGTGGCCATCACTGAAGCACAGAATGTCTGTGGTTCGGACTAGGTTCCCGAGTTGTCAGTAGTAGTGAGGACATATTAGTTCCTTGAAATCTACTCGAAATAGTGATTAAAGCCAGAAAATAAATATCCTTCTCTACAATGATTGTGCAGCATCACTGAGGAAATCTAGATTGAGAAAAATTGGAACTCTTTGAATGCTCTGTTTAAAGATACATACATGATTGTTTTAAGGAATATTAGGAAACACAGGAACTGATAGTGTACGGACAAGTGGGAGTTAATGGAGTCGAAGACTGCAATTCATAAGATGACTCAGTGTAAAGACGAACAACAAAAGGAGAAAGTGAGTTCAGTCTACAGAGCTGTGAACCAAGGAGCGACGAAGAGTGCGAGGAAAAACAAGAGACTGTTTTACAACATAGATGCACCTGAAGTAGAACACGTCGTGGGTAAAACAGACCTCAGAACACTTGGAAGGTAATCGGGGCGCCATCTAGGAAGAGGTTAACACAGATGAAACCAATGAAAGATAATGATGGAAACATCCACGGATAGTATGGAGTATACTAACGCAAGATGTAATACGCACAACTTCTATAGTATTCGATCTGCATAGACCAAAGACAAGGCGAAACACTAAAATCGATCGGCCAAATTACGAGATATATTTTGGGACCAAATATTAGTGTGTTAAGAGCTATCTGCAAGCCAAAATTGTAACAAGAATTTACGTCTATGTTTATATTCCGAATCGGAGTCATGAGGAAAAACAAGAAAAAGCCTAACCCTGAGGAACTCAACAACCAATTACAGCAGACTTAGCGTGTGAAAATAAGATTCGTAGATATGTAGACAATTTTGTAAGCAACGATCACAAGCAGTACAAAATAACCTTCAACAAGATAGACCAGTCAGAAGACGCTGCTTCTCTGCTAACAATAAGGAATAAAAATGTTCATAAAAAATCTATAAATATCTGTTGATTTTCTCAATAAACGATTTGTTGCCTGGCCGGCCTTGTCTTCTGTCGTTACAGTAGTGCAAGGTTGATTACTTAATTAGCTAGGGATCGTGCACGAACGAACTTAACACGACGACGTGCTAAAGGGAGTGGATGCTTGACCGGAAGCCTCCAGCTAAACAAGTCGAATTAAACAGTGACGGTCAGCATCCGACGTTCAGTGATCAATGCTGTAGCCAATAATTCTGGTGAATTACATACCACTGCATCTGTGTTGATCAGAAAAGAATAGTTATTTCTTTACGAAGGTAGTTACGGAAGTAAAGGTTTGACTCTACTGTTCGAAATGACCTGACCTCTGGAAATCAGAAAGAATTTTATTTTTTGTTAACCGGTTGTTTCCACAGAAGTGTGACAACGAAAGCGTAACCTGTATTCAGGCAATGACGAGCTACACAGCTGCTGATGCTTTTTGCTCCACAGAAGTACCTATTTCTTAATAGACATTCAAGGAAACAGTTGATGGTCTAGTCTACTATTCTGTCAGGTGCACTTTACTCTGGTATGTACATGTATATTGTTGAATAAAATTCAAGATGAGCTAATAAAAACGGACTCCTGAACAATCTTGCTGTAGCCAATTCATTTTTGGCAGTAATTTTAGCAATTTTTAACTGTTTCTACTTGCAACACGGTCACCGTTGAATGATGACCCAAGCAAATACGATTATTACTGCTCATTAGTGTCACTATTTCAACATTATTTGTATACTGGAAATTGTGGCGCCAGTTAAAAAATACATCATTGAAATGCAGTTGAGATGTTTACAAATATTTTACTGAATATCCCGAATCAGTCAAAAAAAAAATGGAAAAATGAGAATACTATTAGGATAAAAAAGGAAAGTGTAATCAGCTAAAATAGGGAAAGTACCATGAAATTCCCCCTCTTTTTCGCAATTCACTATTTCTGTCCCATTAATTTCTGTATGTCAAATCTTATTTACACCATATCTTCCATCCTTAACCTACCCCATTTATTCCACTACTGGCCAAGTTAAACTTTAAGCACTAGTAACTACCAATCAGCGAATGACGAAGAGTCGTCCAATGAGTTTCATCCACGTGAGTTGAAAATTCTGTTCCGCTTGATTCGAGTCAGACACCTGCTCTAACGCAGTTGCGCTTGCAGTTTGGTGAGGATAAGGCTTTCCAGTATTGCTTGGATGTGAGGTTGCTTAAGAAGGAAAAGATTTTTCTCATGTGGAGATGTCATGAGTTTAAAAAGCTTCAGCAGGTCGATTGATGGATATGTGCATCGTTGTGCAATTTGTTTGAGACGAGTTATTGTAAGGAAAGGTAACCTGCTTATTCTAATATTTCATAGGAACATTTTTGCCCAGGTACCATCTGTCCTTAACCCAGATTTTGTATATTTGTAATTACTGGGTTTTAAAACAGCATATGAGAGATGCAGCTTTTAAAACTGAAAATAGCCTCGTGTCAACAGTTCAGTGGTATCAGCACTGCAGGGATATCGCATCCTGGAAAATGAAGAGGCTTACTTGCTTATTGGGAAGAGCTGTTATCGTGCGTGTGGATGAAACTGTCTTATTGAAGAAAAAATACAACCATGGTCGTGAACGAGCAAACAATGTTTAGGTGATCGGCTTATATGACACCATTATAGCGATTTTGTGGATCCCATTACAGGGATACACACCAATTCCATAGAAGGCTTTTGGGGAAGGTTAAAGAAACAGGATTAGGGCCATTAACGGATCTCAAAAGGATGTCATTTTAAGTAATTTAGATGAATATATTCACCGAGTGTGATGTAACTTTTCAGTTGATACTCCTATGCTAAACTGGGAGATCTTTTCATCACATGTCAGAGAGAGATATCCTATGTAACAGTTTTATGCAGTTTTTATGCTTTTTTTCTCATAAATATATGTATTCCATGCAGAAAAATGCCTCCCTCAGGTGATTGGTGCTTTCAAGGTCATTAGGTGAATAGTAGTTAGTGGTATAAGTATAAAACCTGGGCACTGTGGTAGAGTATAATCATATCAACTTGATATGATTATGATCAGTAGTGTGTGCTCGAAACGTCTTCAGTTAATTTTACTGTGTAACACTGTGTGATTTATCAAAATAAAATCTTATCCATAATGGGGTAGTTAGTGGTGCTTAAAGTACTGTAGGACAAAATCATTTAACCAAAATCAACCGTAAGAAGTACCTGAGAACCAAAAAGAGTATTCCCAACAAGGTGGGATCAAAACTTTGTCAACAGGCATTACGCAGCAAACACTTCCTTAAAACAATCCAAAGTAAGAATAACCATGATTCACTCAAACAAAACAACATATTATCAATATCATCACACAAAGAGAAGCATTGAAATTGGAAACTAAGCGGGAACAAAGACAAATCATAAAGGATTAATTTAACAGATGATAAGCGCAGGTTTCGAGATGACTGTGGATACACCACAAAGTATGGTACCCTCATTGTTGGCAAGAGATACACCATCTATCTTTGGCTAACTGTTGTGATAAAGTTCGTCTGCACTCTTCTTTACAGTCTAAATTTCTGCCGTTCTCTTTAAGCTAATGGCTGAAGGGATTACCGTGGTGCGAACTATGGATTTGATATATGTATATTGAATATTCCCATAATTTATTCAGAACAAAATATTTAGAGCGAACAATTGTTTTCAATAAATTCTTCTTCAGGCTCTACAATTATAAATCCATTAATTTAAGCATACAATAGCCAATAAAGGCAAATTAGAATCATATCAGAAAGTGTATTGTGGAACAAGTATAAGATGGGAAGGAACAGTAGTCAGATAGTTTTTTAATATGCATTGTCAATGAGAACATGGGACAAAATCAGATGAAGTATTTTAATTTAATGATGTGTGTATATATATAGATATAGTCAACAGAAATACAAGTTTCGAGAGTGTGTGTAATCAGGGTGTGTGAGACCATATGAAAATAAACCAACGAATGGGGCGGACTAGATATAAGTTCAAGGTTGAAAATAACGACAATAAGAATGATTGTGAAATAATAACGATGATATGGTGTAAAATTGCAAGCACTATTGGTGAATGATTGTCAAATAATAATAATGAATATAATGAAGTTGAATGAACAGGATTTTGTAAATACGATAGCAAGTTAGAAAAGCACTACTTAAAACTAAGGTAATAAAATCATAAGATTATGATTTTATCAAAATCAACACGAATGTGATAAGCAAGTTCACTATGTAAACACACACTACCTATAATTTTACACACCGATCAAATTCAACAATATACACTTGATCTTGTTATCTTTACCAATTGACCAACTTGACCAACAGACGAACAATGATCAAGTTAGTAAACTTTATTTTGATATCATAACAGACGTACTATTACCTTTGTTATTTGGTTTAGTGATCTTCATTGCTATTTCTACTTTCGATATGTCCCTTTAACTTGACCTAAGTCTATTTTCTCACCGCTTAACTCTTTGTTATATATATGCTGAGATTTTGTAAATTCCGGTTTACTAATACTTTGGCAAAGCTTTTAGCATTAAATAGCGAAACGTCAGTAAACACAACAATATCGTTTTGTTTTTCATTCATTGGGAAATACAAAAACCTTTATTATAATGAAGTGTTCGCTCTAAATATTTTGTACAGCTTGATAATAAATTCGTTAAAAATTTTCTTCATTGAGAATTGTGTGCTTAATGTACAGGCCATTTTAGGATTGTGTGGCACAGTAGATCGCCACGAGAAAAACCGTCATATCCTGGTATGGATATACAATTGATCACACATGACCTATCTGCTTATACGCACTTCGCTTACCTTGCGAAATAAGTCACGGGTATCTGTCAGACATAGATGACCAATCACGGATTAAATTTCATTTCCATTGATTTTTTTTACCTGTAGTTGACCAATCAGAATTCAGACCTTTTCTCACGTGACTGGGCTATAGTTGACTTTTCATAAGATTTATTTGTATTGATTAAATATAGACGATTAGTGGGTAAGGTTTCATTTTTATGCTTATTTCACTTTTGATTGATAAATTCTGGTTATTTATTTCACCGAAGCTAACGATTTCATCACAGTTTTGTTGTCTGCATAGTCTGTTGACATTTGCAACCATAGTGAACAAGAGTTAGCAATATGATGGATTTGTAAGCATGCTTCTTGTCATTATGTGAAGTGTGTTAAATTCTCTTGGATTACACTTACTATGGGGACATTGTGGTGGAATTTTCCCAGTCCATTTCTTACCCATTTAGGTAGTTCAGCTGAGGATTACATATATTGGGATAACTGCGACAACAACAAGAAAAGATGGATGTGGATACGTTCTCTTAGCACACTGGGTGATTTTATTGCAAAACTGTCATTGTCTTTCTAAACAGTCTCTTCAATGCATAATCTTCAATATGAAGTGAATTGATTTGAATTCTCCAAGAATGTGGATATAATTGTATCTCTGCTGACAATCTTTGTCGTGATTAGCTATTACTTTGTGCCTTGATTGTTCATTTTTATTGACTTGAAATTTGGTGCCATTTTGCGGTGTGACTTACTCTGTATTTGTTGGTAAATCTCATCTGTATGTATATGTTAATTGCTGATGCGTCTGAGTACCAAGTTTCTAGAAATTCCCTGGCAGTTTTGATATTTCTTTCGAAATGAAGGAATACATATCTTGTATATCCACATCTAGTTTATGATCTTGGATTTAGAGTCGAAGAAGACTTCCAGGTTGACCAATATACTACTTATCCCAGTTCACACAACTTATTTTGTCATTGTTATTGATATTGTCTTCTTTTGCTATTGGGTGGGCCTTTTGGTCTGCATAATATTTATTCAATAAGGTGAGTGCGTTAGTTTTTGTGTATTATATGTATTCCAAGTGGTTCCAGTATTCTAGCCGTTTCAATAAATTCTTCAGGTTGTACAACTATAAGTTCTCAAGAGTTTAGTTTGTAAGGATTATCAGTTAGAGAACCATTGAAAACCAGTCAGGGAGTACTAAACACCTGTTTCATCCTAGTTTGGGAATCATCAACAGTACGCACCCACATCGTGGGGTTCGAACCGAGGACCTTCCGGTTACAAGGCAAGCTCGTTGGCGACCATTCATCCCGCCACTGGGATCCGATTCAATGGCCCATGTAGTTTCCACCGATGACACTGGTTGGTGCTAGTCGCGCTTAAATCACGAATTGGGTGGAAGTTAGAATTCATGGGCTGGCCATTGAATCGGATCCCAGTGGCTGAATGGTCGTCAACCAGCCTGCCTTGTCACCAGAAGGTCCTGGGTTCGAATCCCACGATGTGAGTGCATACTGTCGATGATTCCCAAACTAGGATGAAGCAGCTGTCCAGTACTCCTTGGATTTCAGTGTTTCTCTAACTGATATCAATCCGTATAAACTATAAGTTCATTCATTTTAGCACACAATAAATAACCAGTAAGAGCAAATTAGAATTATATAAACTGTCCAGAATAAAGCTTTTATTATTATTATTATTAAAGTGCATTTTCGAAAAAGTATAGTGTGGAATATTAGTCAGTTAGTCTTGAATATTATTTAGAATATGCATGGTCAACAAGAAAATGAGATGAATTAATTCAATGATGTGTGTTTGCATAAATATATAGTCAACAAAAGTACATGTTTCAAGAGTGTGGTCATTTGTGAGAGAGAATAACACTATTAATACTACGGAGAAATAAACTAACGAAAAGGATAGATAGACTAGGCGTAAGTTCACTAGTGACAAATAACTATAATAATGATTTTTCAAGAGTTGATTTGTTTTTCGTGTTTGATCACGGATTTATATCAGTCAGAGAACTATTAACAAACCAACAGGGAGTACTGGACAGTCAGCAGTTTCGTCAGACTAGTTTGGGACTCATCGGCAGTACCCACCCACTACAGGGGTTCGAACTCAGGACCTTCCGGTTACAAGGCAAGCTCGTTGACGACCATTTAGCTACTGGGACCCGATTCATCGGTCACTCTATGAATTCTAACTTCCACCCAATTCGTGATTTTAGCGCGACTGGTACCGACCAATGTCATCAGCGAGAACTCTATCCTCACTGCTGACTGGATGCACCCACTGGTCATAACTTCTCACTAAAACTCAGTCCTGTTATTATTTTATTATCACTATACGTACTTTAAATGATAATCGAGACTGACTCTTGTTGTTTCATCTTGTACATGTACCATACAATACACTTTCTGACATAATGCCAAGTTACTTTTACTGGTAATATTTTATGCTAGAAATTAATGGATACATAATTGTAGAGCTTGAAGAAGAATTTATTGAAAGTGACAATTGTCCGCTGTGATTATTCTTGTTCCGAATTGGGTTCAGAATGAAACATAGGACTTCAGCATCACATCGTGATTTCATCCTATTCTCTGCAGTCGTCTTTAAGTGACTGCACAGTTTTCCATAGGCTCTCATTTCCTTTAGTGTCAGTAAAAAGTTTGAGCATTGTGGAATAGATTAAATAAAGTATAGTTCTATTTCAATAGTTTACATACAATGATAAGTTTTGTTATTGGTAATATTTCGAGCGAAATTTCTACTGCCCGTGTTAACACAAACTGGTGGAATTGTTTTGTTCACACATTTATGATTTGTACTCATATATATATAGTTCATTTTGTTTTGCTTATTCATGTTTTTTCTATTCAGAATTATATTCCAAGTTGTTGATAGTTATACTGAGTCACGCTTGTTATATGTATCCAGTGTGGCCTTAATGAATATCGATTCTGTTATAAGTCTCTCTTTCCATTTGTTCATGTTAGTTCATATTTAGAATTCCAACATTGTTCCAGTCGATAATTAGGTTTTTATCCGATGCATGTTCAACTATCGATGATTTTTTTTCTAAATTCTTGTAAGCTTGTGTTCCTGTTGGTTGACCTTTAGTTATACAGGCATTTATGTTCATTCACCCTTGTTTTGAGTGATCTGGACGTTTGACCCACATATTTAGTCAGACACGCGGCACGAGATATTTTATAAATTACATTACTACTTTTATCCATCACTTTTATGATGTCTTTCAGTAAATTGAATATTCCCATAATTAATTCAGAACAAAATATTTAGAGCGAACAATTGTTTTCAATAAATTCTTCTTCAGGCTCTACATTTATAAATCCATTAATTTAAGCATACAATAGCCAGTAAAGGCAGATTAGAATCATATCAGAAAGTGTATTGTGGAACAAGTATAAGATGGGATGGAACAATAGTCAGATAGTTTTTTAATATGCATGGTCAATGAGAACATGGGACAAAATCAGATGAAGTAATTTAATTTAATGATGTGTGTATATATATAAATATAGTCAACAGAAATACAGGTTTCGAGAGTGTGTGTAATCAGGGTGTGTGAGACAATATGAAAATAGACCAACGAATGGGGCGGACTAGACATAAGTTCAAGGTTGAAAATAACGACAGTAAGAATGATTGTAAAATAATAACGATGATATGGTGTAAAATTACATGCACTATTGGTGAATGATTGTCAAATAATAATAATGAATATAATGAAGTGGAATGAATAGGATTTTGTAAATACGATAGCAAGGTAATAAAATCATAAGAAAGGTCATGAAATCATAAAAGTCGAAAATGAACGATTGTCAATGAAACAGAGGAATAGAAGAAGAAGAAAAGAAAAGAAAATTGTGAAAGGAATTTATAGTGTTAATGGAGGATTTGTTGGCTTTATTGTAGGCCAAGGTAAACATAATGGTTGAACATACTTCTTCTGTATGCAAAGAGATGGTCTTCTGGTATTAATTGCCACCGCTTCAGCTACTGATAGAAGACGCAGTCGAGCTCCTCTAGATAAATTACTAGGAACGCGGTAAATAACTGAGAACGCCTGGTCAAGTTTTATCTGGTGTCCAGTATCTACCAGGTGGGCTAAGACTGCACTATTTACACACTTGGTTACTCCTTTACTCAACCATACAGGTACATGTTCACGTGCGCGCATGGATAAAGCCCTCTGAGTACGGCCAATGTAACTAGCTCCACATGAGCAGTTAAATTCATAGATGCACATTGATGAGGCCATCTTTGGTAATTTATCCTTTACTTGCTGTGTGAGTACTGGTTTAGTTGAGAAGTTGAGTACCAGTTTAGCTGCAGGAAATGTTCTATCTACTGCTCTATTAAGTCGACATTTTAGAATGTCAGCTGCAATTTCCCCTTTGTAACTTAAGATACAAAGGTTTCTTTTCTACGGTATCCACCTTTACCTTGTCTGCAGGTATTGACATATACTTTTTTAGGAAGCTCTGTGGATATCCATTTTCTTGTAGTGTGAGTTTCAGTTTGTGCATTTCTTCCTTAATGCATTCTTCTGAACATATACGTTTTATTCTATAGCTTAGACACTTAACTAAGTTTCTTTTGTACTGAATAGGTGCGAAGCTATGGAAATGGGTGTACTGACCCGTCCAAGTTTTCTTTCTAAATAGTTTCCTTTGTAGATACCCGTCTGTCTTCATGGTAAGGAGGACGTCTAGGAAAGGTAAACTGTTATTTTCTTCTTCTTCACATGTAAACTGAATAGTTGGGTGAACACTATTAACAGCATTGAGAAGCTCTTGTTTATTGAGATTTATATCACAAACGATAAAGGTATCATCTACGTATCGACAATAATAATCAAACCCTTTAATCGTGTCTTTAAGTGGGCCGTTTTCAAGCTTTGCCAGGAAAATATCCGCTAGCATAGGGCCCAGAGGTGATCCCATGGCTACACCATCAACTTGTCTATAGAAACCATTATTGAACATAAACTGAACATTCATAGTGCATTTCAATAATAATTCTTTGACTTTTTCGGATGGGATTCCTACATCTATCTTTCTTTCTATCAGCTGGTCACATATGTAGTTGACTGTTTCAAGCAGTGGGACGTTGGTGAATAATGATGCTACATCCAGTGACATCATTTTCTTTCCCTTTACATTCAGGCTTTTGGTAGTTTCCACAAAGCAAAATACGTCTTTTACACTGAATTTGACTAATTCGCGATGTAATGGCTCTAGTGCCTTTACCAACCACTTTGCTGTAGAATGATAAGGCGATTGACACATATCTAAGATGGGACGTAGTGGTACTCCCGGCTTGTGGACTTTCGGTAAACCATAAAGTCTTGGTGTGTGCGTACCTGAGGGTTTCAATTCGTCGAGTGTATCCTTAGGAATCAGATTACTCTCAACTAATGATTTTAGAGTCTTAGCCATTTGGCGTTCGGTTGCCTCAGTTGTGTCTTTACAGCTGCTCAGCTTTTGAAATTTCGTATGGTCGCTTAGAATGATATCCATTTTGTCTAAATAATCACTCTTATTCATGATAACTGTACCAGATCCCTTGTCAGGTCTAGTTATTATCAGATTTTCGTTCTTTTTGAGGTCACGTAATGCCTCTCGGTGTTTCTTTGTAAGTAGACTGTTGGCAGGATGTTTGCTGTTCTTAAACTGGTAACAGGAATCGACTAGGGTACTTTTAAATCTTTCTAGCTCATACTTGGACGAAGGAGTTAGATCGCTTGTCTGGGTAAATAGGTTTTCAAATTGGACATCAGTCTCTAAGTGATCAACCTGATTACGTCTGTCACAGAATTTTAAACCGAGAGATAAAGCTTCAAGTTGTGTTTTATCAAGGCATACAGAGGAAAAATTGAAAACGTACCGGTTATAGTCAACTGGAAAATTAGTTTCAGTCGTTTCTGTATCTAGTCCTATGGTTAATAATATCAATTTCTTGCTTTCTCGAGTTTTTAAAACTTCATTAACGTAGTCAATAAATA